CAAAACAAAATTGCAGCAAACACATCATTTAAACAAAAGGTACAAAGTCATCGTGAAATCATCGGATCCGATAAACCACCTTGTATAGATTCGCCTGCACTGTACATACTAAAATTATTTTGTATGCTTTCAAACTCTTCGCTCCAGTAACTATTCTAAATCTGGATTTTTCACTATTTATGCACTATTAGAATATACATTCTATTAATATTATCCAAAAAGTTATTGCATTAATAAATTGCTACTTTATTAGTAGAAACATTTGGTGCCAAATACCATCTACAATATGATGATGACAGACTTTAAACAGCATATTCCAAAATTGTTTAACATAGCTTATCAACATAGAGAAATAATATAAAGTGTGCAAGCCAGTTTGATGTACGCTCATTTCAAAGCAAAATTTGAGTTTCTGGCATTATTCCTTGGTTTTGTTGCATACCTCTGCCTGATTTCGGTATATCTCCTCGTCATGGATGGACTGTAAACATCAGTAATGCAACGTTGTGTGTACTTTTGCACAAGCGACAAGAATTTATTGACGCTTGTTTTTTTTTGCTCAAATCAAAAAACTTCATAATTTCTCTCTCAAAAGGGTTAACATGAAAGTCAAATGAAGGAAAAAATTATGAAAATAAATTGCCAAATAAGTGACCGAAATATAATGTCATTGCTAGCTGGCACACTTAGGACCGGTTACTCAATGTCTGGTTAACACTAATCTCCGGTTAACCATAGTTATCGACGTTATCGACTCCCTGTTGTATGCATGGAGTCGAAGACGTCGATAACGATGTTTAACCGCAGATTAGTGTTAACCGGACATTGAGTAACCGGCCCTTAATATTATTATGCTTATAAATATTTAACAATTGTCGCCACTTCCATACCTTCCGAAAATTTCGAAGCCTTTCGAAGAAAAAACTGGGATTTGTAACATTTCACTGTGAGTTATTGCTTAAACACTGATCGAAGTTACGATTGTTTCATTTTCTTGTTGTATACTTTTAATTGAAAGAAAATGTTGCTATATTCATTCGATGCATCAAAAATATCGATGTTTTTATACGATACATCGATATGTATCGATGCTATATTTCGATGCATCAAATCGAAGAAAACATCGATGTATTTTTTTGACTTGCATCCCTAAATCGCGGTACCGCTAATCCGCTCTTTGTGAATTTGACAGCATCAGCTGTGTGTGTGACGTCATCTTGGTGCAATTGTTGATTGAGGAAAACCAAATAACGATTTAACTGGGTGCGGTTTAGTTATTTGCCCAATGATTTCGGGCTGTTGTGTCCGAATGGGTTACCCGATCAAAAAAATTTTACACACACTTGTAGTCAAGGGTCTACACTTTATTCTAAAACCTAATTTTGTAATTTGCGGTCACTAATTTATTAATAAATTTGGTCTGAAAAATGCACTTTTTTGTGAATTTCGGAGTGAAATGTACTACGGAAATGTACTGTGGATGGCGTAGCCGGAGTTATATGCACAAGAAATGTGGAATACCTTTGACAATAGAATGGTGTTCTGCACAAAAATACTGTTTATCGAGTTTACATTTCCGGTGTCAAAATGCTAGTTTAAGACCATTTTCCAATGGTTCCCCTGTGGTATGTGGAAGGTTTCGAGGGATCAGGTGTGACTTTTTACAAAATGTGAACTTATTGCCGTAAACAGAATTGCAGCGGATAGCGGGTAACGGGCCGACGGGTACCCGCTGTCAAAATTAGAACACATTGAATGGCATGAAATTGCACAGAATTGCGGCGGGGACGGATTTCTTGCCGTCGGTTATTTTTACGGCGGGAAATTATTTAGATTCATTTCTATTTTTCCCGTCGGGTCGAAGACTCAGGGTTGCTTTTCTGACCATTTCATGTCAATTTGGTTGTTTACAAACAAAAGCAGGCAAACAACAAGCAAGCAATATTTATTAAATTTCAGCAATAGATTTAATTTAAAAAGAAGTTCAGTTTTATTCAGTTGGAACAATGAGCTTCAACGAGTTGTTGATAGAGGAAGTGCGAAAATATAGGTGTATCTACGACTTATCTCGGAAAGACTACCGAAAAGTGCAGAAGAAGGACCAAATTTGGGAGGAGATTGGGAAAGTGGTAAATGCAAGCTGTAAGTATTATGAAGTGCGCAATGTGGGAGGTAGTTTCATGCTCGAGACAGGTCATGTGGAAACCGGGAAATATAAGCTGAATCTCGTGACAGCCGCCGTGCCGTAGAGCTGCTGTGGTGCCCGCTGGATTGTTGGTGGAGCTGGTGTTGCTGTTGTTATTGGTGCAGTTGTTGTTGTTGACGATGCTGCTGGCACTGCTGCCTCCAATCTTCTACATCAACGCCAGCATTCCACGCCGGCACTTTTAGCTGTAAAATGTTTCGAAGTGCGTTCCCACAAAAGTGCGTTCCAGCGGTAGTAAGGTTAGGAGGTTTTACAGGAAAAGCTGTTTTCATCTTTAATAAACCATATGTGACGTGGGGTACGGGAAAAACTTTTCCTGTAAAACCTGCCAATCTTACTGCCGTTGGAATGCACATAATAATTTAGATCACTTATATTTACTTATTTGAGTATATTTATTTTGTATGGAATAACAGACTCTTCGGGACACATATAAAAAAATAAAGCGTGGTAACGAGCTAGCCTCCGGCAGTGGCGCACCAGTACCCAGTAAAAAATGGAAGCTCCAAGAGACATTATCCTTTTTGGATGATTGCAAAGATTCGAGGCCGTAAGTTTGCATAAGTAAGAATAGGTGCCGTTGTGCTATAAAAAAAAATAAAAGGTGGGTGTGGTTCGCCCTTTCCCCCACTGATTCTAAGTGTAAAAACAATTGTTGTGCAAATCAATAGGTGATGTGTAAGAGAGGGGTAAAAGTGAAATTTTCTAAATTTTTAAGAGCTTATATTTCGAAATGTTTTGAAATGATTTTAATTTTACGGTTTCAAAGGAAATTAAAATACTTTTTATCTATATGGATATTTATACATATATATTACATATGTACATATTTCGAGAAAAACAAAATACCAAAGTAATGCCATTTTTTATAAAGATTATCTATTACTACGTTTATACCTTAGCTATTTGCAGTGAAAAGTTATTGTTCAATATTGCCTGATATAAAAAGGCAATAATATGACCACCACCACCTTTGATATATAATTTTATATAGTTAGGTATGTATGACCCAGATATAATAAAAAAACGCGTTTTAGCATATAGCATATAAAACATAAATCTTTATAAAAAATAGCATTACTTTACATATGTAAATATGTAATATATATATGTATAAATATCCATATAGATAAAAGGTATTTTAATTTCCTTTGCAACTGTAAAATTAAAATCATTTCAAAACATTTCGAAATATAAACTCTTGAAAATAAAGGGCGAGCCACACCCACTTGTTCTTTTTTTCTAGCTCAACGGGGACTATTCTTTACTTGATCCTGTATGATAATAGATCATTCGATACGCTTATGAGCCTAATTCTTTTATCAAAATTACTTACTTCGCTTTTTCTTTATTAAGGACTGTCGGAAGCGTTGAAATACCAGAAGTAGAAGATTTGTCAACAAGTTTCTTGGAAGGTATGGAGGAGCTATTGCCAGAAAATTCCACCATGGTGGAGGACTTGGATACTCAACCTTCATGTTCTTCGGGACGTTCAAGCGGAAGGGCAACTAAGCAACGCGCCGATGCCGAACTGAAGGATACTTTTGCCAAAGCAATGGAAGAATGCGTTGCCTCAGTATCTGACCTTGCCAAAGTGCCACGAAAAAATTCAACGTTCTCGCTTTTTGAATCCTTTGCTCAAAAAATAATAGATGCAAACTTATCCCAAGCCGATGTTTATAGAATAGAAGCAAAAATTATGTTGGTACTGCATGAGGAATTGGCGAAATGTTACAAATGAACTAATAATAATATTTGGTATTAAATTGACTGCTGTACTTATTAATAAGTCGTGAAATTCTTAGTTTTTTTGTCTAAAAATTGTTTGTATAAAACATATTTTCAACAAGTAATACAATAAACTAGATTTATTTAAAATATGCTAAGTAATACATTTTAAAATTTTGCAAAAAATGTGTTTTATATAAACGATTTTTAGACAAAAACCTAAGAATTTCCACGACTTATTTATAAGTGCAGCAGTGAATTTAATACCAAATATTATAATTAATTCATTTGTAACATTTTGACAATTTTGAAGTTCCTATATATTAGTGCAGCAGTGTATTTAATACCAACGTATGAAATGTAGTTTAGTTTACTTATAACATTTCGCCAATTTTGAAGTTCCTATTTATTTGTCCAACAATATTTAATACAAAAATATTAAATATAATTTTCAGTTAATTTTTATTCAGTTTATTTATTATGTTTTTAGTTTACTTGTATTTTTATAGTGATTAGTTTATTTATAACATATCAAATATACATAGTTATTGCCTTATTTATAAAAATTAGTAAAATTTGATGTACTGGCCGTGACAATCCGATAGCGCAGCAACATTTTGATCCGTTTTCGCTATTTTTTGTTTGTTTAATGCTCATTAATTGTCTATAAAAGGTACAGCTGTTTATTTAACAAATACCATATAAATCAAAATTTTAAACTTTGTAAAAAACTATTAGAATTTCTAGAAAAATTTTTGGTATGCAATTTCATAGCTTATTAAATTTTAGTATAATATAATGAAAGTTTTAAGTTTTTAAAAAATCACGTTGATTTTGAGATCATTTTTTTGTTGACTGTATTCCATGTGTTACGGTCAAAATAAAAATGATCTAAAAATCTACTCGATTTTTTAAACACTAAAAACTTTAATTTTATTATACTAAAATTTAATAAGTTATGGAATTGCATACCAAAAATTTTTCTAGAAATTCTAATAGTTTGTGGAATTTTTATAATTTTTTTACAAAGTTTAAAATTTCGATTTATATGGTATTTGTTAAATAAACAGCTGTACTTTTTATAGAAAATTAATGCCTAGTGCGGGTGTTTATCCAGAAAACGAAGCCTAACCACTTAACTATAAGCAAAATATATATATGTGCATACATTTTGTTTATAGTTATGGGGTAAATATTTTTAGGCTCCGTTTTCTGCATAAACATCCGCAGTCTAGTAATGAACATTAAACAAACCACAAATAGAGAAAACTGATCGAAATGTTGAGGTGCTATCGTTTTGTCCCGGGCTGTACTTACATATTTATTTGTCAAGAAGTGTATGAATATGTTATAAATAGAATTTGAAATTAAATTAAATTTTAAATCAAATAGAAACAAATGAAATTGAATTTTAATAAGTACAGTGGTAAAAGTTACAACACTGAAGACACGCTTAGCAACAAATCGGATGCGGCGTCCTGTATAAATGAAATAGATTGAGTATTATCGCAACATTAATAAAGGGGAATAGTTAATCTTACCTCAATTATTAAATAGTATATCGGCCAGTGTGTCTCTACTCCTAAATGCATCTGCACATGACCGATTCGCTTGGGCGATTCTGCAAGAAGGCAGCCCAGCGTGGGATTCCCTCCAAGTGCCTGGCACCTCAACACCATTTTCGAGGTGGTCCACGAGTTCTTCATTGAAATATCCACTCTTCTTATCGAGCATTAGATAGTTATGCAGCACAATTGCCGCTAACACAATTTTATCCACATTGTTTTGGTGCTGCGTAAATATTCGTGTGTAGAATTCTCCACCTGCTAGCCAAAATTCCAAATGAATTTTCAATATGCACACGAGCACGTGGTAATTTTTTGTTGAAGTTGTCCTTTATAGCTGATAAGTTCCGGCCAGGATATGGACGCATCAAGTTGTGTTTCAGTGGGAATGCATTATCTCCCACAAAATAATATTGGAATGTTGTCTCTGTTCCTAAAATATTGAAAAATGTAATTAACAACAATATAAATATATATGTACATATGTATATGTTTACGGAAAATTATAATTACCAGGAATTGCATTATCTGGCGGAATATTTAAGTGTCCTCTTAAAATCATTTTGCCAAATGAACTACGTGAAAAAATTCCACCATCACTCTCGCTTTCCATCGCACCCAGAGTCCACAAAAGTAAACGTGTAGTTGGAATCGCAGGCTGCCATTAGCACGATACTATACGTTTTTTTTATAACGGGCAAACTATTTTTATATGTTTGCCATCGAGCGCTCCAACACAATTCGGCATTCCCGTTTTAAATTAAAACCTTTACGAATACAAAACAAAAGGTTAAACTTCAACACGGAAACCTAGATGGTCACTACAAACCTGTCTGATATTTGTTTCCATTCATGCTCATTGGGCTGAGCGACGTAGACGTCATGCAGTTCTGTCCATAAGGCATTGCAAGTATCGTAAACTATCTCCCTTACTGTCGATACCCCCATTTTGTGCGACCAGGCGAGATATTGTGGGCTGCATCCTTGCGATAAGTAGCTAAAATGGACACATTTTTATTGAACCATTTCGTTGCATTCGTGACTAAAATTACTTACATCAGTGTCAGTGCAGCGAGCTTCTTCATTTATTGGCGCTCTTCTTGAAAAACGCTGTAGTCTTTCTTTTATCAATGTCAAAAGAGTTTGAAACTTGGGAACACTCATCCTAGTGGCTTTGAAAAAGTGCTCCTCGTCCTCCAGCTTAAGTTGTTGAAAACATGTTCCATGGAACCCAAACTCATTCCTGGTGAGGTTCGCAGGACGCACCCACCACCTCCTTTTCAACAGCTTGCTCGCCTCCATGTACATCACGTACATTGTGCTCATTATGCATATAATTTTTATTATCCGCAACAATCTTTCAATATTGGACATTTTTGCACGCACTCACAATTAAAGCAAACGAAAAGATTTTACTACAAAATTAATTTTATTGTAAACCACAAAATGTTCCGTCGCAATAGTGTTTACCGTTCCCGTCGCAATTGTGTTTACCCGTCCGTATTTTCCCGACTGGAATGGATCAGCTGTTCGCCACCCGTCGGCCCGTTACCCGCTATCCGCTGCAATTCTCTTTACGGCATATAACTATTGTCAGGACGCCTACGCCACGGATAAAATTATTAGCGTTTTTGACAACTAATACGTATTTCTTATTGTCTTGACAGCATTGTCTACTGTAAACGCGCCGTAAGTATGGCAAAGTAACTTTTCGCAAAAAGCTACTAAAAACACGCCTAACAGGCTAACCTAATATTCATGCACGCCGTCAATTTACTGTCAACAATTTCTCATGCACATGCAACTTAATACACAATTCGCATGCCGTCTAATTTGTTTATTTGCGACAACCGAGATTGGCTTGCGTGCGTATACATCCCAGAGTTGCATTGCTGTCAAATATGCAAACAAACAATTTATTCAGAATTTAAAATTACAATTGTAACGATTTAAAATGAATGTTTCAGAAGATATAGAAAATCTTGCAATTTTGTGGGCGATGTACAACAGACTGCACCGGCGAAGTGGAAATAGAGAACTATTTAAAACTCGAGACGAATTCGGGTTCCAGGCCACTGGGTTTGAAATATTAGTTTGTAAAAATGCAGATCTATTTTATAAATCAGTTAGGATGACTTACGACTCATTTAACGTTTATTAAGGTCACGAAGGCCAGCAATTGACCCCGAGAAAAATATTTTTATCACCTTGTCGTAAGTTCATTTTTAACCGACTTCCAAAAAAGGAGGAGGTTATCAGTTCGTCGGAATATTTTTTTTTTTTTTTTTTATGTATGTTACCGCATAACTTTGGACCACGTCAACCGATTTCGATAATTCTTTTTGCATCGGAAAGGTAGTGTCTCAGAGGTGGTCCCATACTAATCTGGTTAAGATCCGGATCATGAGATATATATATATATTTTTTTTTTTTTGCTAAAAATTACTTGTTATATTTATATTGATAAAAATTAAGACAATGTTTTGTTAAGTTTTCTTGCACAAGGCTGCTCCTTATACAGCATTGCAGTTCAGTTCCGTATTGGCCAAGAAACGGCTAGAAACGTAATCTTGGAAACCTGCGATATGATCTGGAAGCACTTAAATATCTGGGTTTTATGTGAGTATTCCTAACGAAGAAGAGTGGAAACGAATCGCTCGGGGATTCTAAAACGATACCGGTTGTTTATGTGACATTAATTCGCATTGGACCCACCATTCCGCTTCCACCGAGTTGTTTAAGAACGACATAGCGTCCTTCATAGGGAATTTATATGAAGCGATTTTGCGCTGAACTCACGCAGGCTTGCACGAAAAAAAATTGAATGGCTAAAAGTATAAAAATATCAAAATATTCGCAATAAAAAGCCGTTTGCATTGTTCAACTTTGCATTCTACTTTTGGTTGAACGGCCTTTCAACTAATCGCTCTCAACAAAGTTGGTCGCCAGCCAACATTTAACCATTCAACTTTTTGTTCGTACAACCCTGCGTGAGTTGAACGCAAATGTTGAATGCAAAATCGCCTCATGTAAATTCCCTATCAGCTTCCATGGCTTACGAAAGCTGCTGCCGCTGCCAGAGAGATTAGCGCCTTTCACATTTTCCCTACTGTTACGGTCGCATAAGGAACACCACCTCGTCTTGCAATTGTAGGCTGCAAAAATAACGTGCTTATTAAAGCCCAAAATACAAAAGCGCAGTGGCAGTGACAGTTTTTAAAATCAGCTGTTACTGCTAATATTGGCAGTCTCTGCCGCAGCATACCCAATACGACGTTGACAGTGACTGCTTTTTTTGACATTACCTTTTGTTTGTTTACATTTTTGTTGTTGCCTTTTAGGCTTCAGTGACATCAACAGAAGTTGGCTGCGTTTCATTTATATCAAATTCAACATGCGAAGTTTGCTGCGATGAAGGCAGTGGTAGTGAATTTAGAATTTGGGCTGAACTGAGCAGTACTGCTTTTATTTGTTAAAATTTCGGGCATTCTTTACTAGAAGATGAGTGGTTGCCTGAGCAGCTTACGCAAAGCGTACGCGTGCATGGCGGAGGGTGAGGTGGAAGAGCACATGTGTCGCATACAGGGGGCTTGATACAACGCTTGGCAGTTTTGGCACCTCATGGGATTAGCGTAGTAGGGTCTTACTTTTGTTTTGTACCACGAGATGTCGATTTGTTCCGGTAAATAGTAAATGTCGAAGGTATGGCCCGCTCGGTTGGCCATTTATATACTTAGGGAATTTGTAAATGGACGAAACATCCTGTTCTTTTAGATTGTCAATTATTTCTTCATCAGGAACGTCATTTAAGAAAGGAGCGCAAATACACCCTTTGCTAGAGTTTAGATTTTTGTGTAAATCAATTTTGAGTAGGAGTAGGTTTCCATCCCGTAGCTCGCTGATTTTTATTATTTCAGAGCTAATGTTTAATAAAGCTTTATGGACAGCGAAACAGGAATATCTTTAAGCACTCACCACTAAATATTATTTCCTAGTGCGGTCCCACCAGGGGACATTATGAAAAAAAGTTTACCTATGGGGAGAACTATATAGAAAAGTTAGTAAAAATCAATATAGAAAAAAGAAAAAAGGAAGAAGCAAAACACTTGAAACGAATTTGCTCGTACGCGCGCTGTGTAAAGTAGACACCGAAAACACTGAGAGAACAACCGTATGCGTCGAGTGGCAGTCGATGACTGCTCACATAGTTAATTGCTAAGCACGATTGAGAGAAATAGAGATTTCGCCAATCGCGGTACCGCTAATCCGCTCTTTGTGATTTTGACAGAAACAGCTGTGTGCGTGACGTCATCTTGGTGCAATTGTTGATTGTGAGCATACGAAAAAACCAAATAACAATTTTAATATTTGTGCGTTACTATTTCTGCGTGGTTTTAAACAATTATTGAGACATTACAAAGCAAAATGAAGTGTGCAGTGGCAAAGTGTAATAGTGGAAACAAAAGGAAAGCATGCGATATAAGTATTTTTCGTTTCCAACGACGCGAGCCTGGCGAAAAAGTGGAAGAAGTTCTGCCGGCGAGGAGATGCATTAAACACCAAATCGAGCTATGTGTGCATGTAGCAATTTACTAGTGAAGATATTGAAAATAATACACAGTTCGAAATGGGTAACATATTGTGTATTTTCATATTAATTGCATTTAATATCGTTTTCGTAAACGCCTTAGGTTTTGCAAAACTTCGTCGTCTAAAACGTGCGGTGCCTACTATTTACGAAGAAAATCTGGGATTTCCCAGCGTACAGAAAGAGCTCAGCACAGGGAAAACAAAAGAATTGTCAGCAAGTTACTTGAGCAGAGTGAGACTGCCGTTGCCACTGCAGGCAACCATTTGCATTTATATAAAGCTGTGGAGTTTATGGTGGTTGGCTACCGTCCACAAATATAAATATGCACTCTGCAAGGCTTTTTACAATGGCGAGTCCAAAAATTCACTTTGCTGCACACCTTCCTTTTGGTCTACATGAAATTGCAAACACTGTTAACACATCCATTTTTTCATGTGCTAAAAATCGTACTTATCTAAAGGGGTACATGTCCAAAATTATTGCTACGTGTTCCTAATTAATCAATCTTTGTATATTTACTGATTTCTGCCAAATTGGGCCATGTAATATTAAAATTAACACATTTTTCTGCATTGTTTACATTTTTTTTTCTATGCGTTTTGGCATTTCTCCCTCGCAATTGCACCAAGATGACGTCACGCAAAAATTACGCTCAAAAATCCTCTCTCATTGGCGCAATCTTGTATTCTATCATTCTTGATTGCTAAGGGCCGGTTACTCAATGTCTGGTTAACACTAATCTGCGGTAACGTCGATAACTATGTTTAACCGGAGATTAGTATTAACCAGACATTGAGTAACCGGCCCTAAATATTTAAGATGTATGTACATTAGGGTTGTGCGATTATTCGATTACTCGAGCAAGTTGGTTAATCAATTATTCGGTTAATCAATTACTCGAGTAATCAAGATTTTGATTACTCAAAACGATGATTAATGGAGTTACTTGAAATATGATTACTCAAAAAAAAAAAATAATTTTGCTCGTTAAAAGAGTTTGCTTTGGAAAATGTTTATTCTCTTTTTTACATTCTGTATATGAAAAAAATTTTTCGTTTTAATTTTTGAAAACAGAAACGTTGTTTTCAAAGTATCAAGGAACTTTAACTACTTTATACTTATGGAAAAAGTTGAAATGTTGATTACTCATTTTACTCGAAATGTTGATTAATCATAAAGCAAATTACTCAAATATTTTTTTTTGGTTAATCAAAAACCTTGATTACTCGAGTAACTGAACTTTTGAGTAATCATAATTTCCAATTAATCGAATAATTGAGTTATTTACTTTAATTAAAATTTTGAGTAATCAATTAATCGCACAGCCCTAATGTACATATATATGAATGGAACAAATAAAATTTAATTTGAAATAAAATAAAGTTTTATAATTACTTATTTCTTCTTCTTCTTTATTGGCGGTTTAACCGCACGCCAGTCACTTCTCTTCTGTGCTAACTGACGCCAATCGGAAATGCCAAGTGAAGCCAAGTCCTTCTCCGCCTGGTCTTTCCAACGCAGAGGAGGCCTTCCTCTTCCTCTGTTACCAGCATCGCGGCCCGCGTTGAATATTTTCAGAGCAGGAGCGTTTCTGTCCATTCGAACGACATGGCCAAGCAAGCGGAGCCGCTGAGTTTTAATTCACTGCACTATGTCCATATCGTTGTAAAGCTCATACAACCTGTCGTTAAATCGTCTGCGATATTCGCCATCACCAACGCGTAAAGGTCCGTAGATATTTCTCAGAATCTTTCTCTCAAAAACTCCAAGAGCCGTCTCATCAGATGCTTTCATTGGCCATGCCTCCGCGCCATACACCAGCACAGGCATGATGAGTGACTTATACAGTGTGATCTTTGTTCGACGAGAGAGGACTTTACTTCTCAATTGCCTACTCAGCCCAAAGTAGCACTTGTTGGCAAGAGTGATTCTTCGTTGGATTTCAAGGCTGACATTAATATTGGTGTTAATGCTGGTTCCCAAATAAACGTAGTCGTCTACTTTTTCAAACTTGTACCTGTCAACAGTGACGTGGGTGCCAAGACGCATATGCTCTGACTATTTGTGTGTTGACAGGAGATACTTCGTATTGTCCTCGTTCACCACCAGACCCATTCGCTTTACTTCTCTATCCAATCCCGAGAAGGCAGAACAGACGTAGCCCTTGTTTTTACCGATAACATCGATTTCGCCGGCGTACGCCAGCAATTGTACGCTCTTGTAAAGTATTGTGCCTGAGCGGTTCAGTTCTGCGGCTCTTATTATCTTCTCCAACATCAGATTAAAGAAATCACACGAAAGGGAGTCTCCTTGTCTGAAACCTCGTTTGGTATCAAACGGCTCGGAGAGGTCCTTCCCTATTCTGACGGAACTGGTGGTATTGCTCAACGTCATTTTACACAGCCGTATTAGTTTCGCGGGGATAACAAATTCAGACATCGCGGCATAAAGCAACTTCTCTCGAAAGCGGCTTTGAAATCAACAAATAGATGGTGTGTGTCGAT